ATATAGGTTACCAGAAGGTAGTTCTAAGTTACCAGTGTGTACCAAGTGTGTTGACTCCCCTCTCTTGGTCATCTCCCAAACAGGAAGTAGAGATCGCAGTGGGCGGGCAGTGTTACAGGTGTGCACGAGAGGCCGGGTGTGGGCAGGTGAAAGCTGCACGGCTAAAGACCTCACCTGTTTACTGTGCTACTACTATTCCACACTGAGGTGAGTCATGCGTAGTCAGCAGCGATACTGACCTCTCCCTCGCACCACAGTATCTCAAGTTACACTCAAACAAGTGTAACTTGAATAAGAAATAAGAAAATATATAAAATAATGAAAATAGGTGACTGTTGAACTGTACTTTAAGACGTAATTCAGAGTCGTCGACGTTTTGCTATTCAAATGTTTTTATGTTTACGTTTTTACCTTTCCTTTTGTGGCGGTAGCTATGTGGTGGTTAGTATAGTTCAAATCTCTTGATGATATAAATTGCAGTACATTTTTATGTGTTTGTGTTTTGCTAGATCCTTGTCTGTCACGGTCACACATACATGGTTAATTGTGACACTATGGTTTTAGGAGGGAGAGACGCGAGCAAGGTTTGACTGTGCTAGTAGACAGCAGGAGGCAGCAGCCCTCTCCTGCTCTACTGTCATCGCTGTCTGAGCTCCAGGTGAGGACAAAGTAGACTTTAATTGTATTTTATTTTATCATCAGTTCATTAGTATTGTTCAACTACTAGAAATAACACTAGGACTTTGCACATAGATACGTATGCTATTGTTGTCCCTCCTAAATCTCCTAAGAGACACACCTTAGATGACGAGCAGTTTTAAAATAATGGCTTGCCTCAGGGCGAGAGACCTGTGCTCACTTGTCTGTAACAACACGGTCTGATTGGCTGCAGCTGTCTTACGAGACACGTATCATCATGATAGGATGATGAGATACTCAGTGATCTAAGAATTTGACTGGTGTGAACCACAAACACAATTTACTCACTTTAAATCACACATTTAACATTGTTTACCATGTTCATGCCTGTAGTCCCTTTGTGTAAGACTTTTTTCTTTTTAACAGGCGTTATTACCAAATGCACTTTACTCGGTTCTGTTCCTGGTGGACAAGGAGGCAGCGGCTAGGTCTGAGAGGGACCTTCACATACAGGTAATGCTCCACTCCCAGCCAAAATGTACTGGGTTTGCTTCCCCCATATCCACAGACTACCTGTCGGTGTCCTTGAGTGAGGGTGTAACCCCACCAGCTCTACCCCATGAGCTGTATCAGAATGCACTGTAAATCACTTTGAAGAATCTGTTCAATTGACCCTTCGCTAAGCCCCTCCCTAGAATGGCCACTGTCCAATCCTACATCAGCAACTGCAACTCTGCAAGAGGCCTGTCAAGCTTTCAGAACAAGGGGAAAACCTTTGCAGGATTTAGTTGGCCTTTCCTGTGCCTTTATTAGATCCAGTGTATGGATCAAGCCCAAGATGTGCACGCAATATCCTGGCGCATGTTAAACAAATGGAAAAGCAGGATAATTTAGTTTTGCTAGCAATGGGCTCAAACATAGATGAGCCCATTGTGAAAAGTATAGGGACTCATAACTAAAAGGTAGCTTAAAATAAACAATATATTGACTTACCTTGCTGTGCAAGAACATTGTTGTTCCTGTATGTTTGTCCTTCATGTGAATTGTGAATAGTGACATGCCGGGTGCAAAAGCTTGACAGGCGTGGCAACAGTAGCTAAAGTGGGTGGGACTTGTTGGTTACTAGTAGTAACTAGTAGTGTTAGTAGTCAAGGCACCATTGCAAATTGTTGAGTCTAGCTTTTTAAAAGTGTTAAACTCTAGATTGAAATTCTTTTGAGAGCTCAGGTATCCAAAATGCCATCAATCTGCTATTGCTTTTATAGCCAACTTCTGTGGTAGAACCATGTCTGGCATTTAATATTTTTGCATGAACAGTCAGAATATATGCACTTGCTGAACTTGCTTTAAGGCCAATTTAACCTCTCTGAGTCTGAGAATGTAATGCATCTCATAAAAAGATGTATTTACCATTGAGAACATCTGTCACATCTGTCACGGTTTAAGTTGCCGTGGACCCAAACGCACAACACAGAGAGCTGCAGACAGAGGACAAGGTAAAACTTGGTGTGGCAGGGTTGCCCTCACCACACGCCACCTAAGTGGCTTTCTTTCGGGGCCCTCCGACACAGGACACGGGTAGATGTTGTTCAAAGGTGTTTATTGGAGTTTCAGGCCAGATGTTATTCGCCGAGCTGATGGTACAACATGTCATGACGGTGCTCCTCCTCGAGTGTGTGTGTTGATGGCTGGTTTATCCTGGGTGCCATGATTGCTCATGCACCACAGGTGTGCAGCCCCACCCAGCCAGAGTCCAATTAGTCCGACTCAGGCCAGGTGAGGCTGTAAACCAGCCATCAACAACACACACTCCACATAAACCCTCCACATATCCCCAACACCAGATTGAGGCTGGGGAGAATCCCCAGCCTCGCCTACTCCCCCCCCCCCCCCATCCCCCATCCAAGCAAACAAAAAAACAAAACACATACCGGACTCTGAACAGGGTTACCATACCTACACAAAACCTGGACTCTTTTCAGGGTTGCCATACCTAAACAAAAAAATAAACACAACCCCCCAAACCCCACTACCTCCACACCTCCCCAGGGTCACACGCCAACCCCACCCTCCGTCCCGGAGACCGGAGGCCTGGGGCTGCTGCTCCAGCTGGCGGAGGTGTCTCTGGGGTAGCTGGCTGCGGGGGCTGGCTGGATGGGTTCTGGAGGAGGCCCGACAGCTGGGCCGCGGAGGTAGCTCTCGGAGGGCCTGGAACAGTCTTAAGTCACCCCCCTCCACCAGGGCGACGAGGCATGATCCCTCCCATCTCCTCCTGGAGCATGGGGCCTTGGGCTCCTGGTCCCCTGGCAGAGGGGCGGCTGGCCTGGGCTGCTCCAGGCTGGATCCAGGGGAGGCTAGCTGCAGACGGTTGCCGGTGGCGGTCGCTGCGCTGCCTCCCCGCTCCTCCGCTGGCCGTCGCTGCCGTTCAGGGGGAGCTGGTGCTGGGGTGGCTGTCTTCGCCGCGGCTGGTGGCTCCAGTGCAGCTTGGACAGCCCTTCCGTGTCCCGTCCTGGTCGGAGGAGCCCCACGTTGGGCGCCAGTGTGGCAGGGTTGCCCTCACCACACGCCACCTAAGTGGCTTTCTTTCGGGGCCCTCCGACACAGGACACGGGTAGATGTTGTTCAAAGGTGTTTATTGGAGTTTCAGGCCAGATGTTATTCGCCGAGCTGATGGTACAACATGTCATGACGGTGCTCCTCCTCGAGTGTGTGTGTTGATGGCTGGTTTATCCTGGGTGCCATGATTGCTCATGCACCACAGGTGTGCAGCCCCACCCAGCCAGAGTCCAATTAGTCCGACTCAGGCCTTGTGAGGCTGTAAACCAGCCATCAACAACACACACTCCACATAAACCCTCCACACTTGGGTTTATTTAAGGATGGGGTAGTGGAGGTGAGCCCAGGTAGTCGGTGGGTAGCTGTGGGCCGCGGAGCCATGGCAAGGTAGTGGCGCACCTACGGGCCGATCAACCGACCGATAAACCTCGTTGGCGTTGGAATCCGTAAGAGAGTCAGTCTGGTAGGCGAACCAACCAGCTGCGGCGGCGAAGTACTGGAGCAAGGCGTGGAGCTCGGTTAGCATAGCTGACGATCTGGCGATGAGTGGGTGGAAAACCGGGGTTGATATACTGCAGAGTTTGATTGATGAACCTCAGGTGTGTGGAACCAGAGTAGTAGAGTGAAGTGGCTGATGCACCCAGGGGAAGCCGGAGCCAGCAGGCACGCCCACTGCATACAACATATAGACAAGACAGCCACAAACAGACACAACAGAAAACATAGACCCTAGCTAGGGGACTGACCTGGGACCATGACAACGTCACGCCATTTCAGTCTAGTACAATGGACTGCACACAAGATGAATATGTAGTGCAGCATATTATGTGTCTTTATAATAAGCAATTGATATATCCTGCTTGTTGTGTGCTAATCCAAATTAACCTAAACTCTTAATAACACGAGAGTGCTAGCTATTTTCTTTTCAACATTTAAATACGGTCCAGTCAAACTAGATGTTTAGAAGTGTGTAAGCTTTTGAGGTTGAGGGATATCTTGTACGCTCGTATCTGCGTGACAAAAACACTGTGAATTCACACCTTGGCAGGAAGTGACCATACCTCTTCCTGCCATACCTCCATACCACCACATCTTTTCAGAGGCACAGATCATGTCGCTGTGTGATTTTAAGGTTTGCTTGTGTTTGTTTCACCACAGAACGAGCTGCTAACATCCCTGAAAGCCCTGCTGAAGCACATCGACAGCACCCAGCTCACTGCAGATCTGGAGGGTACCTTTCACTACAACCACAAGCACTGGACCCACTTCCGACAGGTCGCTCTCTTTCTCTCTCTCTCTCTCTCTCTCTCTCTCTCTCTCTCTCTCTCTCTATCTATCTATCTTTCTATTCAATTCAGTGGGCTTGTACACAACATGCAGTGTATATGGGAGATATGCCCTACATGTTGCGAAAACATTTGATTACTACAGAATTAATGAATAATCAATATTCAAAATATTGATACTCTCAGAAAATCGAGCCCTTCGCCAGGAGTTGCAGTGCAGCCATTTCCTCTCTCCAGGAGTCTATTGACAACCTGAAGACCCGGGTCAACCCAGAGACATCCCAGGTCAGGCCCCCGCCTTGGGTTCTCCGTCTGACCCCTCTGATTTATGTGTCTCTTGTTGACACCCAATGCATCCTCCCTGGCCTCTGGTTCCTCTGGCTGCAGGAACAATGGTTCTGGAGGAGAGGTGTCTCTGATCTCAGTTTTGCAAAATGAAAAGCTGATATGAATAATTATGATTATCTGAAGATAATATTGATGGTTTTGTTATTTCTCTCTGTATTCTATGAAGAGGAAGGGATGGTCTAGTGGTTAGGGTGTTTGACTCCAAGCCAAAAGTTCTGGGTTAAAATCCCACTGACTACATCCCACTGCATTCTACCTGTAGACATCCTAGAGCGGGACACCCAACCCCTGTTACCTCATTCATGATAAATTAACTTTTGCCATGGATAACAGTGTCTGCTAATAGTACATGTATTGTTCCCTGTTGACACTGTGTTGCTCCAGGATGTGTTTGAGATGATGGAGCAGCGGAAGCACCTCATGAAGAGTGTTCTGGACGACACGCGGCTCAACAGACTGCGTCTGGAGGGGGGGACTGTCCTGGCTCGCATCAGGAAGGAAGAGGCCTGCGAAAATGACAACTACAGGTACTGGAGTGTGACTATTATGGGGTCCCAATAATACATAAATGACGTGAACATTGAATTATGGTGGTAAGCAAAGTTCAGATTCTTTGTTGTTTTTTTTTACTAATTTCTCTGTTTGAATATGTGCAGGGACGCTATAGACATGGTGAATGTGCTGTATAACCAGGTGGACGAGGAGGTCCATGAGCTTGTCATCCTCTCCAACGACTCCCAGAAACAGTTAGAAAGCCTGCTAGATGTCCGCAAGTTTGAAGAGCAGACACAACAGGTGGGTTTCAACTTATTTTGAATACTTGTTTGACACGTAGCTGTAGTGTCAGATACCTCTCTTCTATCACTTGGGTTTTCCACATGAGTTGTACAGTACATGATCCCTACGTAATTCCCATGTTTGAATTAGAATCAAATTTTCCTTTTTTTGGTTGCCAGGTCAAACTGTGGTTTAGCATGGAAGGAGAGAAACAGCTCGCACCGCTGAACTCGCAAACTCTCTCTCTCGGCACCATCAAGGACATGAGGCAGAGTTTGGACAACTTTCTCGCGGAGTCTGTGGTAAATGCTAATTATATATATATTATAATATATATATATTAGGGGTGTAACGGTTCCCGTCAAAAAACTGTACCGTACACGATGATATTTGCTTGTCGCGCAAATGTGCACGGCTCTGGACGGATTGAAATACGGTACAGCAAAAAGATGCCTGATTTTAGCACATGTTGGAGTCACAGCCATATAATTATGATTAGAAATGATACTTTATAGGAGTGGGACTTTTTTATACTACTATACAGACAGCCAGTAATAATGACGACTATTGATAACGTCAGTGATTGCTGATTGCTGGTCAGTAGAGAACATAAAGGTAGAGAATGGCGAGCGAAGAGATCGAGCAGTTGTTAGATCCCCAGTGTCATTTAAGTCTAGGAACAGTAGGATTCCGTGTGGACAAATGCAAAGCCAATAAAGTGATAAATCAGCGACCGTCCTCGACACGCCTTATAACTCAACAGTAAAGATTAAATACATGGTTAAAGTAAAGATATACAGTTTTAAAGTAAATATATACAATACTAGCCTATAAATAAAGTACCAAATATACTGTTACAAGCTCACTATGAGCTGGACAAAATCATGTGGACACCGGATGAAGGTAAAACAAAACTGGTTTATTGTGCGTTTGCTCTACATTGAAACTGTACCGTCCACATGGATGGCCAACTCTATCGGACAACTAACTCACATTATCACAAAATATTTGATAATGTGAGTTAGTTGTCCGATAGAGTTGGCCGTCCATACTCTTATACTCTTTTATGTTAGGGCAGACATTCACAGTTAGGGCACAGAAAAGAAAGGATATATTAAGCCTCCCCTGGGTTTATAAAGGTAAAAATATATATATTTATATATATATATTAGTGGTGGGCCGTTATCGGCCCACCACAGACCACAGACCACAGACTCTGTCAGACTCTTATCGGGCGATAAAAAAAATATCGCCGTTAATCTATTCTCAAAGTTGGGTTGGGAGCTGGGTCTATACCGGATTTCTACCGGGGACGTAAGCGCCACGGAACGACTGCGTCCTCTGCCCGGCGTCAATCCCCACCGGGCACGTAGCGCTGCGAGGCGGCTGGATTCGCGGGATCACGCGAGAATCAGGAGAACATGCGATAATTTGTGGATGTCAAAATAGAACAAACAAATAAAAGGTTACTTTGCCTTTCCAAAGTTGACTTGCAGTTGCTTTGTCTGTCAGAATTTGCTGTTGATTTGGTCATTTTTCCTAGATGTTTGTGCTTCTACCATGAGTTGGTAGGCTATATAGTAAATGTTTTCTTTTTTGTCTGGTTTAATTGTGTTTAGTGTTGTTATGTCCTAATGTGTTGTGCTGTAGCCTATAGACAAAGTCAGTTATAAACGACAACGATTTGTGGCCGTGTTCGATCGGGAGGGTGTTTTTATTTTGAAAATTGACCGGATGCTCTATGGCTTTTACTATTTCACTTCCTGCCCGGTCGATCTGCTCTGTTGAAATTGACGCGGTTCAGCAACGGCTCGCGTCAAAAATAGAAGTCCTATGGAATGATAGCGCTGCGGCGCGGCGAGGCGCTGCTGGGACGCTGCTGACGTTCTGCGGCGCGCCCGGTGGACATGCTTTCATTGATTAGAGTGGCAGCGATCAGCAGCGGTGACTGCGGCGCAGCCGTTCCGCGGCGCTACGTCCCCGGTGGACTTTCACCATGGCCCACATTGCCCGTAAATACTTGGGGACTCCTGCCACAACTGTCCCATGCGAGAGACTTTTTTCTTTAGCAGGCCATATTGTGCAGAAGAGGAGATCTAGTTTGTCACCAGAAAATGTGAACAAGCTGGTCTGCCTGAGTGACTGGTGGAAGAAGGAGAAATGGAGCTTGGACTGATTGACACAAAGCTACTGACTGTAAACAGTTCATCATGACCTCTTATGTAGGCCTACAGTTCAAAATTCATGTTTAACTGAACAGTTAGTAAACACAAGTACATCTTATTGAACATTATTTATTTTCATCACCAATTATCATAGTAGAACAGCTTTCTCAAGCAGTTTGTGATGCATTTTGGAAACAGGAGATGAGCCCCTGGTCTAATGCGCCACCTGGCTTGAGAAACCCGTTCTCAAAGACTTACTTTTAGTCATTATTTAGGTAGCACACACATATTATGAATGCCTTCGGCAGAATTTAAATGAGCCATTTTAATCTAGATTAATCTAGATTAATACCAAGATTACAGTGAGATTAATCTAGATTAAAGAAATTAATCTATGCCCACCACTAATATATATATATATATATTACTGAACCGAACTAAAAACCATGACCAAAAACTGAAACGAACCGAACCTTGACTCAACTAACACCTACCGGTGTGTATATATATATATATATATATATATATATATATATATATATATATATATATATATTACAATGTTTATTTTTATTATTATTATTATTTCTAATAATAATACTAATTTTTATTATTATTATTTTGTATAGACCTATTATGTTCTATATTATTCAAGATTGTACAGATTTGTTTTATTCTACCTTTTAACGACACAAGCTCCCATATCCATGGCTGAATGCAGTGCGTCTCCACAGTGCAGTGTGTGCTAATGTCTCTGTGTTGCTATGGCAGCAACAGCAGAGGCTTGGACTGCAGGTGGTAAAGGAGTCTCCCGAGTCTCTCCCCGGGTCGGCGCTCCTCCTCTTTAAGGAGCACCTGGGCTCTGTCTTGACCCGGGTGGAGAGGAGGAAGACCCAGCTGGACACACTCACCAACCTGTACGAATTCTATGACTCGGTGAGCAATATAGTCTTGTGGTTAGAGCTGTTTGACTCCCAGTCCAGTGGTTATGGTTCTGGGTTCTAACACCAATGTCTGCAGTCTACCTGGAGGCTTCCTTGAGCAAAATGCGTGACACAGCATGCATTGAATTTTTTTTTACTGCAAGTCGCTTTGCACAAAAAGCTAAATGAGTAAAAAGTGAATATAGTATATAAGTTTACATTGAAGTACAAATGTTTACTTTATAAAAAAGGACATGCTGCTTTATTCAATGCTGTCCCATAGAGCAGCACAATTTAACCACACCTCTCTCATTGACTCTCCATGAAGGCCAACAAGTGGATGGAGCACTGCCAGGACTACTTCCATCAGCTGAGCATGGAGAGCGACGGGGTGAGCCTGCCTCCCGCCGTGCTCCAGATCCTCCAGGACTACCACGCCGAGGCCACCAAGTTCTCTTCACACAACTTCGGCACGCTCAACCAGATGGTGCTCTCCCTGGACAGCCCCGGGCAGCTGCAGCGCTGGAACACCCTGTGGCACAAGTGCCAGCAGACCAAACAGCAGCTGGAGGAGACGCTGGATAAGGCTGTGAGCGCCTCCGCTGCCTCTCCACCTCTCCAGTCCACCCAGGCAGCCGCTCCCTTCTCCGGGGTGGATGCCATGGGACACACACGGGAGAACACAACCGCCAGACTGCACGGGCGGAAGGGAAGCCTGCCTCTCCCCGATCGGCCCCCCTACTCTATCTCTAGCTCTGACCCCGGTGCTGGTCCAACACTGGGGGGCGATGAGGACACCAAGCAGCCCCACTCGGCAGGGCCCTTCCCCAAGAGCCCCAGCAGCTCTCTGTCCTCCTCCTCCCACTTCCCCTTCTTCCCCGGTGAGGGCACACTGCGCCATAGCCCGTCGCCATGCGACGACACAGACAGCGACTGCACCATGGACTCCTCGTCCGTCTCCTGCTACTCGGAGCCGGCCTACCTGGCGGTGGCGGCGGCCGCACAGCACCGCAAGCTGCAGCCCCTGAAGAAGATGATGAAGAAGACCCTGAGCTTCGAGCTGAGCCCCTCCAGGGAGGGCGGCCACGGTCACGCCGACGCCAGCCACCTGCACGGCTACACGGGCGTGTACATCCGCGGTTTGGAGGTCACCAACAGCGTGTCAGCCGAGAAGAAGCTGCAGAGGCCCGATGTGACCAGCCCGGCACTCGGCCGGAGCCGCAGCATGTCCTGCACCTCCTCACCGTCCTTGCAGCCCCCCAGCAGACACGAGCAGGTGGACGGAAACAAGCAAAGCAGGTGAGGGACTGCCGGAGCCGCTGAAGATTACTCTTGGCTCTCCATAAGAGCATAGACATTCAATGTATGTATGTCATTAGA